GAGAGAGGGGAGAGAGGAAGAGAGGGGAGAGAGGGGAGAGAGGAAGAGAGGGGAGAGAGGAAGAGAGGGGAGAGAGGGGAGAGAGGGGAGAGAGGAAGAGAGGGGAGAGAGGGGAGAGAGGGGAGAGAGGGGAGAGAGGGGAGAGAGGGGAGAGAGGGGAGAGAGGAAGAGAGGGGAGAGAGGGGAGAGAGGAAGAGAGGGGAGAGAGGGGAGAGAGGAAGAGAGGGGAGAGAGGGGAGAGAGGGGAGAGAGGGGAGAGAGGAAGAGAGGGGAGAGAGGGGAGAGAAGGGAGAGAGGGGAGAGAGGGGAGAGAGGGGTTTCATCACCAGCTCAGCTCTCCAGGGTGGGCTGACCGGGGCACCCGGATTCAGACGCATGTGTATGTGTGTGGGTGTGGGTGGGTGTTACACCCCCGTTGCGTTACCCAGATAGAGGTGTAACACATGGGCCCATCCATACGCGGCAGATAGAGGCCCGAGAGCATGTGTGGACTAGTTGTTGAGGAGTTACGTCACTCACGCAGGCTGGTGAAGGTTCTCCGGACCAGACCCGGAACGTAGCAGAGCTCGGATTCATGGGGAAGAGGGTTTCTCGGAAGGGAGAGGGAGGGGAGAGGGAGGGGAGAGGGAGGGGAGAGGGAGGGGAGAGGGAGGGGAGAGAGCTCATCTAGCGTGTTTAGGACGCGATGACTCGTGTGATGGAACGTATGTATGTACATATGTATGTGCGTACTACTACCCGCAGATGTGTACATAGATGGTAGCTCCACATGGTGGAGTGAGTGCACACATATGTATGTATGTATGTGTGTATGTATGTGTGTATGTATGTGGTAGGAGAGGGACGTGCGGATTTTGACGGAACTGCCTAAAGAGGTGAGAGCGCAGGTCTTCGGTGCAAAAGTAGAAGACGAAGCTGATCTGGCTTCTTTTCCTTCCTTCTTTCCAGATAGTGCATGGGAGCTTGCGGGGGGTGTGGGAGACGCGCAGCATTCGCAGTTTTGACGGCGTTGCGACCCTCGCTCGCGCTGCCACCCTTTCTGGGGATCATATCTGCGAGTTGAGTTGCCCGACCGCGCCGGGCTTATTGGACTTGAGCTGTTGACTTGCTTGCTCGATTAGGCGGCACCAGGGCCCAAGTCATGCTTGTACGTCATCTCAACGTCCTGGTTGGCTCTCAACGGTCGGGTAGGAAGTTTTGAAATATACGGAGTTTTTTGGTGTACGACACGGTGCATTTCCTAAACAGACAGTTACTTCGTTGGGTATACCATGTGAGCTTTTTGTTGATGTACCAATGGGCGTCTGTATGTATGGAGCGAGGGATGTAGGGCCCTATGGCATACATTCGACCGATCACCGATCGGTATCCCTCCGGCGCAACCGGTCGGTAGGGTGGGGCCTCGGTTGGGTTACCGAGGAGGACTTACCTGTCTTCACCCTACCGAAGGGTTACCCCAAGGATAGGCTACCCTACCTGTCGGTTACCCACTGGGGCAATGGCCGGGTTGGCCGTAATGGAAAGGGCCTAACCATGCAGCAGAAGTGCCTTTCTACACCTGCTGGTTCAGTGAAGCGACCTGCTGAGCTGTTGCGTGCTAGTTACAAGTTACAAGTTCCGCACACAAGTGCGGGTGTGTCCGTAAAAGCCGGGGGGGCCATGGACGTTGTATTGGTATTGATGCGGGTACGCGGGAGGTCATCTTCATTCTCCCTCGTCCGCTTCAGGGTGAAGCGCCTCAGCGCGACGTGCCTGGCCTCCCAAATTTCCGAGAGGTACCTGGCCAATGCCAGGGGTGGCGCCTCAGTCATAGTGGTGCGCATGCTGCGCCCCGTAAGGACTAGGTCACCATCATACTTAGCCCGTATACTCTTGTAAGCGGGACATTTTTCGAAAACATGCAACTCATCTTCAACCGCTCCACAGTCACAAAGCCTGCAGGTACGCGCGGTGCGCTCACGCCCATTAGGCCTATTAACCTCTAACTCCCAACAGCCTAACCGAAAACGCATGAGCACATGATGAAGTCGCTGGGGCATGGTCCTTTTAGTGTGCTCCAACCAATCGAGACGCGCACCCCTAGACGGGGCAGCTCCCATCCAGTTCATATAGCGACACGCCTTGGCTCCGGTAATTCCTATGGGGAAGACGCGGGGGTCACCCAAGGTATTCGGGCACTCCCACCGTGCATCAAGCCGCTTGGCAAATACCTTAAGAATGCTCTCAACTGGCAATTTAAGGGTGGTGTAGTACGCTATAAGATCATTACCGCGCATATTAGTGGGGGGTTCCACTCCTAAGCTAGTAAGAAAGGCTAGTACCTTGCTTGCCCAACACTCAGTGACGCCCCCAAGTGCCAACTCCAGGTCAGCGACAAATGCCCGGTGACACAGCCTTCCCGGCCTCTTAACCACAGAGTTCCAAAGCCTAAGTACAAGATTGGTCCAATGGAACTGGAGTGGCCTCTGTGACAGCTCGCGATATAGGGAAACCATAGTCGGGCTCCTCGCCCCAACTACGGTTCGCATGTAAGCACGCTGTTCCTGGACCATGGGATTAGCCATAGCACCTTCAAAATTCACATTAATGAAGTCAGGTCCCCAAACTTGCGCTCCATAAGAAAACACCGGTACAACTAGTGTATTGTAGAGAGACATACATAGCTTGGGGGTGGTAATCTTCTTATCACGACACAGGGTGCTGAGCCCAAACGTGGCCCGCCTCCCTGCTGTGAGTAGTTGCTTGGTACATGCTGAGAACTGCACTCCTGGGCCATAGTGCAACCCGAGATACCGTGCCGTCTCGTTGCCGGTCAGCACCCGCTAGTGTGCTGGCTGGTGCACGCTGACAGATAATGTTGTAGTGTAGTGCAGTGCTACTGGCCCGTGAAGTATGTCTCAGGCCGGCACTGCCCCGACCACGGTATAAGACCGCGCTCCGAACGTGAGTAGAATATGAATTCTCAAAGAACCCACGTCCGTTCTGTGAGCAAAGACGATTTCAGTAAATTTATGGATTTCGGTAAGGCTGTCGTACAGATTCTTGATGTTCAGTTCCGGTGAATTCTTACAAACGATTCTTGACAGCCAGGTCAGTTTTCAGAAGATTTCATGTTCATAATTGATTCGCATATTTCTTGATAAGCTCATCATTACTGTGTAGCTATTGCGCTACAACAGATAAATATTTCCCTTACAAGACCGCCCATGCAGAGATCTTTAGACTTATTTTTAACGTACGCTGTACAGAGGTATATTTCAAAACCTGGACCAAGTTCACAGTTTTAGGATCCAATGCCCGCTGTATGCCACAGCTAGCCTGGCGACGAGCTGTCTTGTCGGTAACCCTACGAAAACGGTAGTCGGTAACTGGTCGCTTCGGTACCTGGCCGGTAGGTAGGGTAACCGACATAACGAGATAACGACCCAGTAACTGGGGGGTCACCGACCGATAAGGCTACCGGACGGTTACAGGGTCGTTACCTCGAAATGTCGGTTACCCAACCGAAGCGACCGGTTGGGTTATAGCTGACGGGTCGGTTACCGACCCTTCTATGCCTTAGGGGGTGGGGTATGCGTGCACGCTGCTTCTACTCATGCTGCTTTGATTGCTGTGCTGCCGCGCACGGTTTTCTCGTGGCTCTTTCCTCAAGAGGGCTTTCTTGGAATACCTACTTATGGCCCAGCTCCGCCACACTCCGCAACTCCAGCAGCCCATCCAAGCCAACTGCTCTAGCACTTCCCTCCTTGCCTTTTGCTGCTCCGTCTCACGCACATCGCATACACGTCCTATTCTCCAGTTCGACTGGCAATGGGCTGGGTTCGCGCACCACCCGGAGGCTATAGATGCACAGCCGTTCTTGTTGAGACGGAGGCGGCGCGCAATGCACTGTCCATGGATTTGCATTCTCGCCTTGGGAAGTGTATACACCAGATTCATACACTACTCCTTTCATACACTACTCGAGGGCTAATCCAGCCACCAAACGGCCTTCCGACAGTCTGACTGCCACATTACAAATGGTTATAACAGTATGGATGGAGGTCCTGCAAGTGAAAAACTAAAACTCAAAATTGGCATGAGGGTTTTATGGGGTTTTACGGGGGGTTTCAATGATTTTTGCAAGAACGCGTATTTCCCCCTTCACTAGTGATCAAAAATTCGGGTCAGTTCATGTGGAAAGGATGATCAGCATCCTTTGGAAATATGCTATCCATAGCAATCCATGGATACCCCTCCTGAGCGGCGCCTCTAAGATTTGCTGTACTTTTGAGAGCTGTGCACGGGTAAGGGTGTGTAGCTGCCCGTGCCTAAAGCATGCATGCATGCTCTCCACAATAATTAGCATACAATCCAAACACGACGCCGCTCCTCCGCTTGCAGCCCAGTGCCGGAACACTCCACGGAATACTGCGGAGTAACTGGCTGCACCGGGGCCGAGCCCTTTTCGGCTTCGAAGAAGCTGCTAGTTTGTCCTGAAGTTACATGCCAAACAAAACCATATTCACAAGCAGCGCATGCACATATTCTCAAAATTTAAGCACTCCATGGAACGTTGTCTGGCCCCGTTTCGTTACGAAGGAACCGAACCGAACGGCGTCAAACCGATTTTATTTTGGACAGCTTGTTACCCGGCAGCTCCCCGCAGCTCCCCGGACCGCCGGCTGTGCAGAGCCATCGCAGTCGCGGCACGCGGTCAGGACGGAAGGCTGGAGCGGTGGGGGCTGGAGGGGAGGGATTAACATTCCCCTTCACCAAAGCAGCGCCAACAGTGCTCTCCCCCCAGCTGTGCGTGCACTGCCCTAGGTAATCACCCACCACACAACACCACCGTACATCTGCACACAAGCGTGCGTCAATCGGGACAAACGGCCATAACACTGTATCCGGCAACACATTTGGGCTCGAGCTATGATGATCATCATCATCATCATCATTATCATCATGATCATTCGAAGCAGGAGCAGCAACAGCAATAGCAGCAGCAACAGCCCTTTCCAGCGACATATTTTTGACAAATATTGCAAGCCTAGATCATTAAAACTAGTCGGGGGGTGTACGCCGCATACTGCCGCATCACCGACAGCCACCCGGCTGATCCGGCTGGCCTAAGGCCACCAGCCAGTCAACATGCTAAGTTGCTTTCACCGCCTGCTCTCTGACCTCCCGTGTGTACCCACACAGAAATCAAACAGGAACTACACCCACCACTTGCAAACATGCAGCATAGAGTATGTCGGCGTTTTGGAAATGCTTCCCAATAAAGCAAAGCCATTCTGTACAAAAACCAGCAGCAGGCATTCAACAAATCTACCGTATCGCGGAACATCCCTGTTTCCCCCCCTCCTCCTCCTCCTCCTCCGTCTTCCCGATAAAAACATCTTCTCAAAAAAGGACGGTGTGAGCGGACGAAGTTTTTCCAGTCTTGCCACAACTCCCAATGCCAAACGGAAAAAGGACTCAAACGGTGAAAAAGTTCTCTCCTCCCCATTATAATTCGAAACGTATTTTTAACTTCTACTCTGGGTGCGGTCACCCAACCGAGCTCCGTGGTAGTTCACTTTTGGGTTTTAAGGACAGATCTGCCGTTCTATCATATATACCGTACGTTCAATGCTCCGGAACCAAACACAGGAGCGCTAGACCCCTGGCCCGGGGCAGAGCCCCGAAACCAAAACCGACGCCGCTCGAGAATCAGAGAAAGAGTCACAGCGCACTTGCCATGCAAACGCCCCCCTGGCGCACCTCTTCATCCTCCTCCTCCTCCTCCTCCTCCTCCCCCCCATTTCCTGACCCCCGAGAGGTCACTCGGTCACTCACCGACTCGTCATCGTCTCCAATTAACCTAATTTTGAAATTTGTTTAGTGCCTTTCCTCTCTCTTTCTCTTTCTTGTTGTGTGCCAGCTGGAGAGCCTGCGTGGGTAAAACCAAGTGCCGCAGTGTGGCTCGGCACCTGCCGCCCCGCAGCCGCTACTGTGAACCAAATCATGTCCTCCTCGGGACATAACCACCCGAACACGAACAACAAGAACAGAAACATGAGTTGAATACTGAAGCCCCTCACGCTGCTCACTGGGAACATCCGCCGCCGCAGAAGCATGTAAAGAGAGGGGGATAGCGGCAGAGGAGGAGGAGACATTATGGGGGTCTTCCGGCGCAGCTGGCACCGGGAACCACCGTGAAGGTGGGGTGTCGTAACTGGAGAGAGACTTTGACATGCGCACACACACACGTACATACACACACACACCGACACGCAACAGGCCCCGACACGACACGACGAAACACGGCATGACACAGTACGACACGATACCGGTCCGAACGACTCAACCCTAAGCCCAGGCCCACCTGCAGGTCAACCAGCAACTCCCTCTCGCCGACGCAGGAGTCCATTCCACCACCAATTCCACCACCATCACCATCACCGCAGCCATCACCCTCACCGCCATGACCCCACTCCGCTGCAC